CATTCTGGCTGTACTTCTTCTAAGAGATTTATTCGTTCTTTTGGTAGTCCAGCACCATAATTGAAGTGAATCGATTCTTCTTGAGTCTTCCTTATTCATTGTCCAACTTTCACATACATATGAAACTATTGAAAATGCATAATTTGTGCCCTCAAACTGACATCGTTGATCTTGAATACTTTAAAGAGGTCTTGTGAAACAGATTTGACTAACACAGTATGCCCTTTTATTTCTTGACTGCTAATTCCATGAACACTGATTGTGGATCCAAGTAAAATGAAGTCTTTGACAACTTCAATCTTTTCTCCATTGATCATGATGCTATTTATTGGTCCAATTGTTAGGATTTTGTTTTCTTTACATTGAGGTGCAATCCATACTAAAGGTTGTAGTTTTTGATCTTCATCAGTAAGTATTTCAAGTCCTTTTTGCTGTTAGCAAGCAAGGTTGTATCATCTGCATATCTCAGGTTGCTAATGAGTCTTCCTCCAATCATGATGCCATGTTCTTCTTCAAATAATCCAACTTCTCAGATTATTTGCCCAGCATACAGATGTAACAAATATGGTAAAAGGATACAACCCTGGTACACACCTTTATGGATTTCAACCATTCAGTATCCCTTTGTTCTGTTGGAACAACTGCCTCTTGATCAAATGTACAGTTTCTTCATGAGCACAATTAAGTGTTCTGGAAAATAACAATTCTTCACAACGTTATTCATAGTTTGTTATGATCCACACAAAGAAATGCCTTTGCATAGTCAATAAAGTACAGGTAAACTTCTTTCTGGTGTTTTCTATTTTTATTCAATATCCATCTGATGTCAGCAACGATATCCCTCATTCCAAATTCTCTTCTGAATCCAGCTTGAATTTCTGGCAGCTCCCTGTTAATAAATATGCTGCTGCAACCATTTTTAAATTATCTTCAGAAAATTTTTATTTGCATGTGAAATTAATGATATTATTTGAAGATTTCTGCATTTGGTTGGCTCCCCTTTCTTTAGAATGGGCAAAAATGTAGATCTTTGTCAGTCAGTTGGTCAGATAACTGTCTTCCACATTTCTTGGCATTGATGAATGAGGGTCTCCAGCACTGCATTAGTTTATTGAAAGATGTCAATTTGTATTCCATCAGTACCTGGAGACTGGTTTTTCCCCAATGACTTCAGTACAGCTTGGACTTCTTCCTTCAATACCATCAGTTCTTTGTTGTTGTTGTGTGCCTTCGAATCAATTCTGACTCATAGCAACCTTATATAGAGCTTTCAAAGAGCATCTCATGAGTTTGAACCACTGACCTTGTGGTTCAAACCGACCTTGCAGTCCAGTGCATTAACCCACAGGACCCCACCAGGACTCATTGTTGTTGTTATGTGCCATGGAGTCAGTTCCGACTCATAGAGACCCCTGTACAGGGTTTCCGAGGCTGTAAATCTTTACGGGAGCAGAGAGCCTCATCTTTCTACCACAGAACAGCTGGTAGTTTCGAACTTGCTGACCTTGTGGTTTGCAGCCTGATTCGTAACCACTACGCTATCAGAGCTCCTTACCAGGACTCATGGGTTGGTTGGTTGGTTATGTGCCATGGAGTCGGTTTTGACTCATAGTGACCCTATACAAGGTTTCCGAGGCTGTAAATCTTTACGGGGGCAGAAAACCTCATCTTTCTCCCACGGAACAGCTGGTAGTTTCGAACTGCTGGCCTTAAGGTTCACAGCCCGATTCGTAACCACTACGCTACCAGAGCTCCTTTACCAGGACTTTTAAAAAAAGGTACAATCAAAACAGTGACTTCCAAAGGGATATCCTGGTCAAGTTAAATTTAAAAGCAAAAAGGTCGACTTAAAAAGTTATGGTGACTGTTTTATATTTGGGAATTTCAAAGGGATCATCTTGATAGATTTTTTCCAAGGATACAGAAAATCATGAGGGCTTACTTTGAAGAAGATTTAAGAAAATTGAAAACTGCATTGGTGAGAAAAAGTCGAGGAAACTTGTGCCAAGTAACTTTTTTTTTTTTTTCAAGGCAGTGCATCTGCTTATTCTTCAAGGATAATAAGGACTGACCTATGAGAATTTCATTGGGAAAACTTACCCCAGTCACCAAATAACGTTTCAGCACGGTTTTGTTTCCCAAACTCCAAAAACATTTAAAAGGAACATTATTTGATGCAAAAACTGCCATTTTGATGTGGTATAAATCAATGAGTTCAGAATTCTTTAGAAATGGGTTCCACCCAGGGCCATCGAATCAATTCTAACTCATAGTGGCCATTTATATAGTTTTAAAGACTAAATCTTTATGGGAATAGACAGCTTCATCTTTTTCCTGCAGTTTGATAAAACAAAACTGGTGGTTTAAACTACTGACTTTATTGTTAGCAATCCAGGGCTTATCCTACAGCATCATTAAAGCTCCTTTAGAGAAGGGTTTGTTGTTGTTGTTAAGTGTTGTTGACCCCATCTGTATAGGGTTTCCTAGGAGATATTGGTGAGTTTTAGCTGTCGACATCATGGTTAGTTGTCCAGGGATGGAAATACTGTCCTCAGAAGTGCAGAAACCTAGATGAACTATATGTCAAGAAACAATAACTTCACATTTTGATTCTTTTGTTTAATAAGTGTTCTTTAATTTTATAGCAATACTTTTTGACTTATCCTCATATTTTGAAATAATTTAATTAACCAAACCAGTTGCCATCAAGTTAACTCTAACTCATGGTGGCCCCCTTGTGTCAGAGTAGATCTGTGTTCCATAGGGTTTTCAATAACTGAGTTTTCCAGAGTAGTCGGTAGGCCTTTCTTCTGAGTTGACTAATAGTAGATTTGAACCTCTGTTCTTTTGGTTGACAGTCAAACATGCTAACCTTTTGTGCCACCCAGGGACTCCAATTTAGAAAAAGTTCAATTTATCAGGGTTTGGTTGTTTTTTTGTTTTGTTTTAAGTCACATTGTTTTTTGGTCTTATTTAAGTATCTTTTTTAGCTAACTCACAGTTAGCTAAACTAAACTTCTATATTTTCTTCTAAGGCTTTTATAGTTTTATGTCTTGCATTTAAGTGTGGTATTCAGTATGAGTTAATTTTTATGTGTGGTGTAAGGTCAGTGTCTTTTTGAATGTGCGTATCTAATTACATCATTTGTTGAGAAAGACAACCTTCATTGAATTGCCTTGGCACCTTTGTTGAAAATACACCAACTGTAAATGTTAAGGTTTCTTTCTGGGCTCTCCGTTATGCTTCATTGACCTATATGTCTATCCTTATACCAGTGCCACGCTGCTTTGATTATATAGTTTTGAAATTGGGAGAGGTATATGTTCTCCATCTTTTAACTTTTTTCAAGAATATTTTTAGTACTTTGCACCTTAGTCCTCAGAGTTGCTCTTGAATACTTTAAAGAGGTCTTATGCAACAGATTTGCCTAATGCAATATATCTCCTTGATGGTGGTGGTGGTGGTTATGTGCCATGGAGTCAGTTCTGAATCATAGCGACCCTGTATAGGGTTTCGGAGGCTGTATATCTTTACAGGAGCAGAAAGCCTCATCTTTCTCCTGTAGAACAGCTGGTAGTTTCAAACTGCTGATCTTGAGTTTAGCAGCCTGACTCATAACCACTACACTACCAGCGTTCTTTTCTCCTTGTGGTAGGATCAACATATATATTATGTTGCATATGTTGTAAATCCAACAATACAAAAATATATATATATGTGTTTACATACCACCATTGTTAATTTACTCCATTGTTGTTTTTACATGCAATCAAGTCTGTTATGACTCATAACAACCTGTACAGAGTTTCTGAAGAGTAGCTAATGAGTTTGAATCACTGACATTGTGGTTAGCAGTCTAGTGCTTTTCCTATAGCACCACACCAGGCTTCATAATTGCCTTTAATGATACTCTGCTTCCTTTTTCCCTGGTTCAGTTTGAATTATTGTCTAATGTTACTTCTTTCAACCTGAGTATCTTTAGCTGTTGTAGGCTTATTGCTCAATTTCTCTGTATTTCAGTATTTGGGAATACCTGGGAATACTTATTTCACATTCAATTTTGAAAATATGCTTCAATGAGTATAAAATACATGGTTGACAGGTTTCTCTCCTCCCCACACAAAACTTTGTGTATGTCATCCCACTGTTTTCTAGCTTCCATTGTTTCTGATAAGAAGTTAACTGTTTATCTTCTTGTGTGTTATAAGTCATTTTTTCTCTTGTTGTTTTCAAGATTACTTTCCATATCTTTGTATTTTAGCAGCTTGACTATGTTGTATTGAGGCCTGGCTCTTTATTTTCTTATCATGCTTAAAAATTGTTGAGCAGCTTGTATGGGTAAAAGACACTACCTATGAGTCAATTTCAATTCATAATTATTTTGTAGGATAGAAACTCCCATCAGGTTTCTGAGACTTTAAACATTTATGGAATAGAGTGCCTCATCTATCTACTGTGGAACAGCTAGTGGGTTCAAACCACCAACTTTTTGAAAATTACCACCTGTATAGAGAATCTTCTTCTGGAATGAAAAATCTCTCCTATTTCCCTTTGATAATAATACTGTAACAAATAAATCATTGCACTATAATAAATGCCTTTAAAATTCATATTGTGCTTTTTTTTTCAGATTCCAGGAAGAAAAGGAAAAGTAGATGTCTGTGTTTTAAATCCAAAGTGTATCACTCTTGGTGAACTATATGGACAACTGAATCCTAATACAATGGAATGGACTGATGGGTTATTATCAGTAGCAATTCGAAATTATGTATATTTTAATACTAAAAGGCAATCAAAGAAAGACATGGATCTTGGATTAAAGTCAAGAATCTCAGACATATCTAATGTAAGTTTAGTATTAATGGATTTTTTTCATTTAACTCATGTGGGAAATCCCATTGCTTATTCAAAGACTTGATATTAAAGCATCATTAGATACTAAGGTAAAAGAAAAATTTTAAATTAATATAAACAGTTTAAAATAAAAATTAAAGCTATCAAAAGACATAAAATATGCCACTGGGTTTTTTAATGGTCAGTAAATAATGTTGTTGTTGTTGTTAAGTGCTATAAACTTAGTTCTGACCCATAATAAGCATGTATATAGGGTTTCCAAGGAGTGACTGGTGGGTTTGAACCACTGACTTTGTGGTTAGAAGTTCAGGTCTTATCCTACAGTGCCACAAACAATAGAATATTTTAAATATATTTGCTTTTAAATGAACACAGAGTGAATTAAGTATAACTGGTAGATTATATCTAGATCAGTGATTCTGTCAGCACCAATATACCAAATATAAAACCAAAATCACTGCTATCCAGTTGATTCCCACTCATAGTGACCTTGTAGGACAGAGTTGTTGTTGTTGCCAAGTGACATCGAGTCAGTTCCAACCCACAGCAACCTTGTATAGGGTTTCTCAGGAGCAACTGGTGAGCTTGAACCCCCAACCCTTTGGTTCATGCCAACTTTGCAGTCCAGGACATTAACCCACAGCACCATACCATGACTCTGTAGGACAGAGTAGAACTGCCTAATAGAGTTTCCAAAGCTGTATATATGTCTTTACTGAAGCAGCCTGTAATCTTTGTTCCACAGAGTGGTTGATGGGTTCAAACCATTGACCTTTAGGTTGGCAGCTGAGCACTTACCATTATACCACCAGGGTTCCTCCATTAGGCAATAGCAAGCTTCTTCAACATAATACTTCTTCCTGTAACCTAGTTAGTTCGGCTCTCACAAAATAAAGGGCCCAATTCTCCTACTGCAAAGGCTTCCCAAGACCTCAAATGCTAGCCACAAATTTGAGAGTCTCCATGATATTATACTTTTACCTTGAACTGACCCTTAGGCACATTGCAAGCATAGTTCCGTGTTGAAGTAGTTCCCTGGTACACAGTGAATTTGCATCAAGGAGAGGTTTCCTTTGCCACCTGGATACCAAGAAAATCTGTAAAACATTATTTGAATACAATTATGGAACAGAGATTTCACTGTCCTTACATGGCCAAGAAGGCATTCTTAGCAAAAATAGAAGTCACTAAACAATTAAACTACTGCAGCCTTCAACATTAAACCAACCTTGGGGAGAGAAGGAGAAATTAAATTCCAGATTTATCACATTATGGTACTCTAATGTCCATATTTCAAAAAAACAAAACCACAGCACATCAAAGAAACAGAAAAGGATGGTCCACTAAATAACCAAACAAAGTGACAGAAACAGTCTCTGTGGAAGCCCAGCTAATAGACTTTCCAAAAAAAGGCAATAAAACAATGGTGTTAAATGGGCTCTAAGAGCTCAAGGCCACTACTTGTCTGTCAGTTTATCATAATGTGGTGGCTTGTATGTTGCTGTGATACTAAAAACTATGCCACCAGTAAGCAGGGTCACCCATAGTGAACAGGTCTCAGTAGAGCTTCCAGACTAAGACAGACTAGAAATAGAAAGAGGCAAAACACTTCTGAATGATTAGCCACTGAAAACCTTATGTATAGCAACAGAACATTGTCAGATATAGTGCCAGAATATGAGCCCCTATGGTTGGAAGGAACTCAAAATGTGACTGGGGTAAAACAGCCTCCTCAAAGTAGAGTTGACCAGATATGGATGAAGCAGCTTTCATGACCTTCATTTGCTGATGGAGTACAACTCAAAATGAGGAGAAGCAGCTGGAAATATCCATTAATAATCAGAACTTGGAATGTATGTAGTGTATAAACTAGGAAATTTGGAATATAGAACTAGGAATTTATATACATTAAAGAAGTTCATTTGTTGATGGGGTACAACTCTAAATGATGGGGTACAGCTGCAAACATCCATTAAAATTGAAATGTGGAATGTATGAAGTGTATAAACTAGGAAATTTGGAATGTAAAACTTGGAATTTATCTACATTAAACAATGTATAAACTAAGAAAATGGGAAGTTGTCAAAAATGAAATGTGACCGATAAAGATCAACGTACTAGGCATTAATGATCTGAAATGGACAGGCATTGGCCCTTTTGAACCAGACAGTCATATAATTTACTATGCCAGGAACGACAAATTGAAGAGGAATGGGAATGCATTCATCATCAAAAAAAGCATGTCAAGATCTATCTCTAAGTGCAACTCTGTCTGTAATAGGATACCATCCATACTGTACAAGGAAACCAATTAATGTCACTATTACTCAAATTTCACAGAAACCAATAAAGTCAACGACGATGAAATTGAATAGTTCTGCCAACTTCTCCAGACTTCAATTGATCTAACATACAATCAACATGCATTGACAGTTACTGGTGATGGAAATGTGAGAGTTGGAAACAAAAATCAGTAGTTAGAAAATATGGACTTGATGATAGAAATGATGCTGGAAATCACATTATAGATTTTTGCAAGGCCAGTGAGTTTGTTGTTGTGGTTAAGTGCCTTCAAGTTCATTCCAACTCATAGCTACCCTATGAACAACAGAATGAAACACTGCATGGTCCTGCGCCATCCTCACAATTGCTGCTACTGTGCCAATCCATCTTGTTGGAGGTCTCCCTCTTTTTCTCTGTCCCTCGACTTTACCAAGCATGATTCCCTTCTCCAGACACTGGTCCCTGCTGATAATATGTGCAAAGTATGAGAGATGAATTCTGGCCAACCTGGCTTCTAAGGAGCATTCTGGTTGTACTTCTTCCAACACAGATTGGTTTATTCGTCTGACAGTCTTTATTCTTCTGACTTTTAATATTCTCCTCCAACACCATAACTCAAATATATCAATTATTCTATAGTCTTCCTTATTCATTGTCCAATTTTCACATGCATATGAGTCTACTGAAAATCCCATGGCTTGGGTCAGGCTCACCTTAGTCCTCAGACTGACATCTTTGTTCTTGAACACTTTAAAGAGGTCTTGTGCAACAGATTTGCCCAATGCAATATGTCATTTGATTTCTTGATTTGCTACTTCTGTGAGTGTTGATGGTAGACCCAAGCACAGTGAAGTCTTTCACAACTTCAATCTTTTCTCCATTTGCATGATGTCCAGTGGTGAGGATTTTTGTTTTCTTTATATTTACGTGCAACCTATACTGAAGACAAAGGGCAGAATGTGTAACAAACCATCAATTACTCATACGCAGGTTCAGGCTGAAGCTGAAGAAAAGTAATACAAGTCCACAAGAGCCAAATATGACCTTAAATATATCCCACCTGAATTTAGAGACCTCCTCAAGAACAGATTTGATTCATTAGAAACTAATGACTGAAGACCAGAAGAGTTGTGGGATGACATCAAGAACATCATCCATGAGGAAAGCAAAAAGTCATTCAAAAGACAAAAGAAAGGAAATGCCAAAGTAGATGTCTGAAAAGACTCTGAAACTTGCTTTTGAGTGTAGAGAAGCTAAAGTGAATGGAAGAAATGAGAAAGTAAAAGCTGAACAAAAATTTCACATGGCAGCTTGAGAAGACAAAGTGAAGTATTATAATGAAATGTGCAAAGACATGGAGTTAGAAAGTCAAAAGTCAATCAAAAAGAACTGAAGAGAAAATTCAAGCAATATTGAAATATTCTATGGGCACAATATTCAATGATGCAGGAAGCATCCAAAGAAAATGGAGAGAATACACAAAGCCACTATGCCCCAAAGAATGGACCAGTGTTCAACCATTTCAATCAGTGGCATAAGATCAAGAATCAATAATATTGAGGGAAGAGGTCCAAACTTCACTGAAGACATTGATGGAAATCAAGGATCTAAGAATTGATGGAAGTTAAATTGAAATGTTTCCACAAACTGTTGCAGCACTGGAGGGGCTCATTTGTCTATCCCTATATATTCCCATTCCAAAGTAAGGTAAACCAACCAAATGTGGAAATCATCAAAAAAAATATCATTGATATCACATGCAAGTAAAACTTTGATGAAGATAATTTAAAAATGACTGCAACATCAACAGGGAACTCTCAGAAATTCAAGCCAGGCTCCAAAGAGGACATCAGACTAGCAGTATCATCGCTGACATCAGATGAATCTTGGTTGAAAGCACAGAATACCAGAAAGGTGTTTACCTGTGCTTTATTGTTTATGCAAAGGCATTTAACTGTGTGGACCATAACAAACTATGTATGATATTGGGAAGAATGGGTATTCCGGTACACTTAGTTGTGCTCATGAGGAACCTGTACATAGGCCAAAAGACAGTCATTCAAACAAAACAAGGGGATACTGAATGGTTTAAAATTAGGAAAGGTGTGTTTCAGAGTTGTGTTCTCTCACTATACGTATTCAATCTGTATGCAGAACAAATAATTCAAGAAGCTTTATTATATGAAGAAGAGTATGGCATCAGGATTGGAGGAAGAGTCATTAACAATCTACGATAGATAGATGGCACAACCTTGCTTGCTGAAAGTGACAAAGACTTGAAATGCTTACAGATGAAAAATCAAAGACTACAGCCTTTAGTATGGATTGCACCTTAATGTAAAGAAAACAAAATCCTCACAACTAGACCAATAAATAAAATCATGATAAATGGAGAAAAGATTGAAATTGTCAAAAAAAAAACCCTTCATTTTGCTTGGATCCATAATCAATAATCATCAAAGCAGCAGTCAGAAAACCAAAGGGTATTTTTCATTAGGCAGATCTGCTGCAAAAGGCCTCTTCAAAGTATTCAAGATGTCAGTTTGAGGAGTAAGGTGCTACTGACCCAAACCATGGTATTTTCAATTGCTTCATATATATGTGAAAGTTGGACAATGAATAAGGATGACCATAGATTAATTGATGCATTTGAATTATGGTGTTGACAATGAATTTTAAAAGTACCAGGTACTTCTTGTTTTGGTGGTT